CTCACAATACCGCCAAAACTCCACACAATCCCAGAAGAAGCAGCAACACCAAATACACGCGCACACGCACAGTGCTGTCAACAATTAACTCTCGCAGTGTCAATTTCGCGTCGTTGAGCAGGGCAAAGCAGTCGTCGGGACTCACGCCGTTTACAGAATACTGCGCAGTGAATTCTCGTAATAGGGGTTTTTTCTCGTGTCCAGAGGCATTGCGTTGACTCAATCCGTACGCATCACCCTCAGCAACAAATCCACTGCCTGCAACGCCATTTTCTAAAACGAGAGATTTGTGTCCAGTGGCGCTGCGCTCATTCACCTCGTCTGTGTTATCCGCAGCAACGTGTTCCCTGCCGCCATAAGTGACAGACATGATCCCGAATGCATTCGACGCCACTAATATTCTCGGACCGTTGGCAAAGGAAGGCCTCTTGTTGGATGCATTCGGGACCATCATTTCCTTCGGATTGGCGGCAAACTCAGGCTTCGTCTCGGACGTGTTGGTCGCCGTGTTGGATGCGGGACTCGGATCGACGGTGTTGGATCCGTCAGCCGCGGCAGACTGTCGTCAATCCTCGTTTTGGCGTGACGGCTCAGCATTAACTTGCGGCGCAGTTGTCCACCAGATTTTGTGTCATCCTTCCCTTCACGGGGGTGGCGGCAACTGACAGATGCCCGTCCGGTCAGCATCGCCGCTCCGTGCAGTCGGATGGATGGTTCCATCGGGAGGAAATTGACGCCGCCACAATTCATAAGGGCCGGCGTATTTATGTGTCGTCACATTCATCGTGAAGGCAACGGTGGCCCCTTCCTCCTTCGCTGCACAGCTGGCAGCACAGTTGCTACATGTGTGCACCGCATTGGCCACATGGCACACAGCACCCAGCTCACCATCTCTGCCATGCATGCGCACACCAAAGCCACTGAAAGTATAATTCTCATACTGAGCCTCAGCACTCGCTGCAGAACACTTCTTCCACGCCCACACGCACACGACAGCTCAGGCTGCCGTCAGTCGGAGCACACGACACATCCACCGGCACAACCACCGCATCCGCAGCACCAGATACATCTCCAGGACTCCCAGCAGCAGCAAGAGCGCAAGGACCAACACGGCGCGCACCACACGGAGCCGCACCGTCACCATCGTCACCATCGCAGTCATCGTCACCCGTGGTGGAGTCGCTGGAGTCAGAAGGAAAAGAATGCAACAGGAGGGAGAGGGACGGAGTGCAGCGGATGCAGCGAGAGAGAGCAGACAACATGAGGAGAGGGAAGCAGGCCCAGCCGCACACTTCACACACCACGAGACGGCATCCACCCAAGGAAGGCACACAACGCCAGCAGCCACCCACCATGCAGGAGGAAAACACATCCACCACCATCTCCCCCCAGCTCATCGCTACAGCCCCAGGGAAATGGCCAAAACCCCGCGGCCACCACACAACGCTCACGGAGCAGGCACCCACCACACCAGCCACACGCGCCAGTGGACCCTCATCCATCCATGACGCGGCAACAAAATTTCCAGCCATCCCGCCCTCAGTGGGACACGGAGCCCAACTCAACGCAGCCACACGCGGTGCATCACACCCACAGGAAAGGAGACTCGGGCTACGCGCTCCCTCCTCCTCACTTCTCCTCATGGCCACGGAAGAAGACAACAGCCGCCACACGCAACTGCCAGCATGCACTGCAAAAGGAGCACTCAAATCCACTGCAATGTGCATCTTGTGTGTGTGGTTGTGTGTGCCTGCAGAAACACAAAGCGAAGAAGCAAAAAAAAGAAAGCAGAGTGTGTGCAGAGACGCACAAAAATGTACAGCAGAGACGCATGGCGGAAACAACAAGAAGAAGACCGCTCAAACTCATGACTGCACTGCATTCCAAGCAGTGGCAATCCACACAAGATTTATCCAAAACAAAAAAAGAACCGTCCCCTTCGTCTTATATAAACCCCATCACACAAAATAATTATAAATAAAAAAGAAATCGTCCATTACTGTTCCACACAAATTTAAAAATAAGAAAAAGAAGTCGCCTGGCTGCCGTGTGGCCACACCAAACTGTCTGTATATATTTTGCCCGGAAAAGAAATTTTAAAAGATATTTAAGTGTCTTTCAACCGTCTGACCCTCTGTGTGTCCGCACATCGTTTATATTTCATGGGGTCATCTGCGTGTTGCTGCTCCCCTCAGCCCTCTCATCGGCGCGTGAGTGCGGCCCGCAGAGCACAGTCACTCGTGTGTGTGGGGACTGAGAGAAGCACGCAGAAATGACGGGAGTCGCGTCACTCCATCGGGAGAGTGAGCGCAGCAAAAGAAAAAAATCATCAGGAGGGAGAGAAATGCTGACGGGACTGCCAGCGCGTGAAATGAACACAAAAACAAAAAAGAAAAGAAAAACACGGCGGCAGGGTGTGGCTGTGTGTGGCGCTGCGGGTGTCTGCCCGCCCTGGCCGCAAAAAAGAAAACAAAACAAGAGGGAAAGAAATGTGTGCTCCGCCCCACAGGCCCTCGTCGCACGCCCACACGTCACGGCTCCCTCAGCGCGCCGTTCGTCGCGGCCCCTCCTCATGCGTGCAGCAGGCGAGGCGCACAGGGCCGTCGTCATGAGCGTGTCGGTGGGTGTGCGAGTGGAGCAGTTGGGCGTGAAACACACGGTACCCCTCGCAGGAAGAGTGCAGCAATAAACAATTAAAAGAGGGAAGAATAAAAAAAAAGAAAAAACGTCCATAGTGATTGCCCCCAAAAGCAAAAAAAAGAGAAAAGGGATGGGGGAGTGAGAGATAAAAAAAAAAAAAAAGTAAAAAAAACACGCAAAACAAAAAACAAGAAAGTAGCAAACAGCAAATAAATTTAAAATACACACAAAAAAAAGGATTTATGAAAGAAATTCGTTCCCATGGGAAAGTAATTCTGTGGTGGGGAGGGCGCAAGTGTCCCACGCGGCAGCCAGTCACTCCTCACAGAGCCGCAAATCCCCACAGTCCCAACAGAAGGAGCAGCGGCAGCAGTCCGCTTCCGCAAACAGTGCTGCCATCACCATTTGCCGCAAAGTGACGAGCGGTACCGACACCCGTTGCTCCTCCCGCCAAGGATTCAGAAGAGCGCTTCGGGCGAGACACAGCAGGTGAAGAAGTACGCGCAGCCACTGGCTTTGGAATATTAATTTTATTTTTGGCAAGCCCTGCAATCTCTTCGGAGCTCAACGGGCGGTTGTACAGCAGGACGTTCGTCACACTCACAGATACACCTTCGTCACCCCCTGTGTTCTCTGCATTGCCTCCATCCCCTCCAATGTAGAAGTGAGAGATCCCTTTCGATTCTGTATTTTCCCAGTTACTTTGCACACTCTCACACACACGCTGACCATCGACGTAAACGGAGCCCTGGATGCCATTCTGTAGCACAATGGCCACTTGGTACGTTGTATCTTTCTCCCAAGTCCTGCTGTGCTCCGACGTCTTTCCGCCACTGTGCAACAATTCCCACCTCTTTTCTCTGTTGTACGACAGTCCCAGGAGTACAGTATTCTTATCGCCATCATTCACCTTCGCACCCATCAATGGAATGGAGTTATCTCCGTCCTTTGGCAAACCGTGGATGGACACCGTCGCCACAAGAGTGAATTTGTAGTTCGCAAAGTAGTACGGCACAGTCTGCCCCATGTCGCCAACAAGCCACACCGCCCCTGCACCACGCCCCGTGAACGTCACGCCATCGACAGGCCCTGTGGCCGCTGCTGCACCGCTCTTTACTGTGGCGTTCACGCCGAGGTACTCGTCCCTCCATGTGCCATCAGAGAAGTCGCCGGACAAAAAGCCAACCAGCCCATCCGTGATCTTAACAGCGCCGCAGGCAGTGCCAGATGAGGTGTCCTCCGTAGCACTTGAAGTGGGACACAGCTTGGAGACGCGTTTGTCCACTTCATTCCAGGTCGTCAGCACTTCCTTCACCCGCTTCAGCTGCGCAGTCAGAAGCACAGAGACCATACCGAATGATGTTTCTTTCTCACCGTCCTTCTTCTTCTCGTACAGTGCAATCAACTCCTCCTTCTTATTATCACCATCTTTACCACTTTTGTACAACAGGGAGCTGGCGGCAGCGTCCTCATCATCGGATACCGGCCCAATATCAACAATGTGCGTATTGTCCGTAACCCAAAGATGGAGTACACTCTTTCCATTGTTGTTTCCATTTTTCTCTTTTTTGGAGTAGACCGGCAGAGTGACGAGCATCACATCCCTGTTATTATCGGCACCGTCAATCGTCGCTGTGATGAACCCGCTTGTAACGCCCTTCGCAGTTCCCTTGTGTTTGTTGCCCCACACGCGCGAGAGTGTCCCGAGTGCCTCCGTCCACGATTCCCCCTTGTCAGCGGACTCGTACACCCTGCGGCGGCCATCATCACACGCAGTCATCATCATGAGTTTTTTGTCCTTCCACTCCACGACGGAGGGATCACCGCAGCCATCGGCAGACATCCCCTTCGACAGCTTCCAACTCGCAATGTCTGAGGAGTATATGATCAGCGAAACGGTCTTCCCATTATTCTTCTTCGTCCCTTCCACAGGGAACACAAGCGTACCGTCATTTATATAAACGCCCGATCCACCGCTGCCAATCAGTCCTGTCAAGGAGTCCTGTTTGCCAAAAAGACCCCACGGTAGACCGTAAGTATCTCTCCAATAAATTCTTTTGTCCTTTCCTTCCTCACCACTGACGTTTCCTCTCACCAGCAAGAGTCCCCATTGAACCCCATCAGTCGCATTGGCAGCAACAACTGCAGCGGCGGCACTTTCACTGGTGTATTTTCCCGCAAGCATGTAAATATCTCTTCTATTCACAACTGTTGTTGGTCGGCTCACATGTACTTTCGTGTCACTTTGGGAAACGACATCTTCCTGTTTTTGATAGGTGCATTTCCCATCTTTGAAATGACATTCATCCGGTGCTTGGATCTTCAATTTACTCATGTCCAACAATTTTGATGACTCATCACTCAACTCCAGGAGCTCCGAGGCAATCCCAGTAAAACCGCTGCCTCCCTTCGTGCACTGCGCCTCGGCAACGGCAAACACATCACCATCCAACTCAACAAGACTGGGAACACGGAGCGAGCTCACTGTTTTTTCTTCATTCTTATCCCTCCAATCAAAATATGGCTTTGGTGAAGATTCCGCACCTGACGAAGTCTCCTTACTGGATGCGGCCCCTCCACCAGTGCTGCAGCACATCATCACGACGAGAAGCAGCACCGCGGAAGCAAACACATGCCGGGACATGTGGGGCCTCTGCGGCTCACTCTCTCTTCCTTCCCTCCTCCTTCCGCTGGATCCGGTCACGCGGCGACGGTTGTGTGTGCGGGGTGCCTTCACTGCAGCAACACGTGAGTGCATACAAATATTTGTGTGTGTGTGGGCGGTGTGTGTGCTGTTGTTGTTGGTCCTTTCAGAGCCTTCGAACTTCACAGTAGCGTTTAGCGCTTGTTTGCTTTCTTCGTAAGAGAGTGACAGAAATGAAGAAAAACAGCCTAATAAAATATGGGTGAAAGAGTAAGCACCGCCACTCACCCACAGTGAGTGGCACCATCATCCCCGCCGCAGTCACTCCCAACAACAACAACTCACGCACACAGACACACGGAACAGGAGATGGAAGAACAGTGCACCGGGAACACACAGCGACGGTCACCAGCAGCAGCAGGAGCCACGGCGGGTGCGTCGTTACTCGTTACACTTCAGCGCACACCGAGCAGCGTTCACACAAAAAACACAACCAGCAAAATGCAAAAAAGCACGACCGCCCTTCACAGCACCCACGCGCTGCCGCCAGTCGTTTTACTGTTGTTTCTTCCAGTGCCACCAATGGTCTTGTTTTCACTTCGAAGATTATTGCCGTTACCAGACACACCAGTAACCGGAGCAGCTAAACTAGTTTCAGAACAGCCAACACCGTAGACACCGCAGCACAGCACACAGAGGGCACATAGCAACAGCAGGCGGCCAGTGATCACATTCATCACGGCTACACATACTGTCTAGGAAGGGGCACGGAGAGAAGGATGAGAAGAACACACACACAAATCAGCAGCGGCTGCATGGAAGAGAAGGGGTGGCGTTTACATGAGGGTTGTTGTCGTGAGCATCGGTGACGCGTGCACGCAGGAAAAACAGTCAACAATTAAACACCGGACAGCACGGCGCACAACTCCATGGCTTTTAAAACCCTCCCGCAGCTGCCCCCCAATGGAAAGAAAAGAGGACGCCACGGTGCGGCAGGAACACAGAGATGACGGCGCAGAAAAGAATGCCAAACCGGCGTAAAAAAAAAGCAAAAACAAGGCTTTCCCCCACAGCGGCCACATCCAACACGCAAATAATAATAATAATAATAATCAACACCACACACGGCAACTCACAGGGCAGTGAATTCCCTGTCGCCAACCTTCATGGCTGCTCGCCCACACACTCTTCGGGAGTCCATCGCTCCGCCGCCTTCTTCCCTCCAGCAGCACCCTCGCACGAACAGCCACGGCACACAATCGGGTCCATCCGCACCAGTCGCCACGCCGCCCTCAACGACCCAACAGGCAACCGCCCAACGACTGTTGCAGACATCACACACCCGCGCCGAAGCACGCGACGCAACATCATGTCACGTGGACCCCGCCGTCGGCAGCACGTCATGTCAACCGTTTGGCCAACACACGGAACAATCAATCGACAGAACAGAGAAGTAAGGCAGGCGCTCAATCAAGGAATCTCCACACACACACACACACACGACTCTTTTGATGCCAATGCAGCTGCCACGGGCACAGTATCCGAGCGGAAAATGACAACCAGTAAAAAAAGCCTCGCAAAAGGAAAACAATCCACACGTCCATATGCAAAGCGCCACTCAGGCTGCTGCAGCTGCAGGGTCCGTGGGCAAAAATGCGCCTTACTGAATCCCGCCAATTATGTCAGTCTCCCCTCCCACCAATGCCACGCATAATGCACGGTGTGCGTCCACAGGCATCCACTTCCGGTGGCCTAGCAACACTCCAGAAACGAACGCAACAGGAGTAATACAACGAGCACCACACAATGCCACCGCAACAGCAAGCACACCACAGGACAGCACCACGCCACGCACCGATGCTTTGCTCTTCCACACAATTCATTTACCGCACACCCCAAAACACACATAATGGGAAAAGCAAAGGATCATTACACAATGCAAAAGCAATATAAATAAAAACAAGAAAATCAAAACCCACACAGATCCCTTGCACACGCACACAAACACCCCACGGCATTCTTCACAATAAGCAAAACAATTTGTTACCCCTAAACCCAATAAAACACGTGTGGTGCCGCCACATAAGCGACCAACACACACAAAAAAAAAAAAAGGAATGTATAGAGCATTTCTCTGGTGCAAAGCATAGAGACAAGCAGAGCGTATATATGTATATATATACTGAGAGGGACATATCAATTAATATAGGCTTTTCTCTCTTCCACCCACTGCTAAGTGCGGGCCACGCAGGACGAAACCGCATTAGCCTCGCCGTGCAACGGAATCCATGCAGCCACTCAATAGAGTGTTGGTACGGCGGCGGCAGCGGCAAGTAGAAGAAACAGCGGACAGGGAAAATCAGCAGCCGCACTGTTATTGCCGTGGATAGGAGGCGGAAAGTCTGTCAGGTCTGCCACCCAACCCCCGCGCCCACCGCCGCTTCATCCTCCCTCGGCGGAGGGTCCACGGCACCCTTGCGCATCATCAGCGGCATCAGGGCCCTTGGGTCCCGTGGCTGCGGCACTGCCACCGGCCTTTTCGCTGACGGCCTTATCTCCTAATGATTGTTCCACAACAGACGTCACACCATCGGCGGCCACATCGTCGCTGTCCGGAAGATCGCTCTTCTTCTCCGCCTCATGCGGCGCACCCGCGGTGTCGTTGGGCGAGATCACCCCGTTGCCTGTCGGGGCATCCCGGATGGACTTCCTTCTCCTCTCGCGACTGATGCTCCTGGGGTGCAGCCAAGTCGACATCCTTCGGTGGGGTGCCGCGGCCGGGATCAATGCTCTCCGCAACGGGGACGGATGCCCCTGAGAAAACTTGTTCGGTAGATGCCGGTGAAACCGTCCTGCTCCACACCCTCTCTCCGCCGTCCCACGGAACCACTGCAGAAAGGCTGCCGCCAGTGGCGGATATCGTGCACACCTCCGCGTGGTCAGGACAAATGACGTTTCCCTCATCGTACGGTCGAGTGCCCACGTAATCGTCGCCTCGACCGTGCATGGGACCCAACAAACGCCGCCCTTTTCAGTCACTCTCAGACGCACTTGCAGGCCAAGGCGCCCCAATGCCGCATGCATGGCAGCACCGAGATGTGTCGCCTCCGTGTCCCTCGCATCGGTTGTGTTGGTGGGAAGCCTGTCCAGAAACCACGAAGAGGGCTCATCCCCGGGCCTCGCAGACAAATATTCTCCCCCGCAAATAACAGTGTCAGCATCCCTCAGATTCAGTGCGGGATCAGTGATGGGGCAACTGTCCACAGGGCGTTTTGCTGACATTTCATGGATAATATACCAACAGCAACCACTGGAATACCGATCCAACGCGCAGTGTTTGACGAAAACACCCACTTCACAGAGCATTTGGCGATATTCACTCATTTTCAGTGCGGATCAATTCCTCTGCAGCAGCCCGACTTCCTGTCGCAACGCGTCGGCTCCGCCATCTACCAGTTCACCCTCATGCATCCCAGGTCAGCCAATGCGGCCAGCAACAGCTCCATGCCATCAATGTCGTCGCAGTCGTGGTGGTCCCTCGCTGCCATCGCGGCAGTCGTCGAGTGCAACACCACCGACAGCGCCCTGCCACGCATACCAGCAACATTCCTCACCATGCTGCGGCCTGCCATGTGCGGGTGGGTGAATCCGAGAGCATGGACCAACAGGTGCGCGGCGATGCGGGTGACAAGGTCTCCATGAAACAAAACGGCCGGGCAATGTTCATGGCGCCAGCGACGGGACAGCCATCCTCCAGCGTGGCGCACGGGAGTGCCCACACAGCACCAGCGCCGCAGCCACGCACAGCACCATGTCAGAATTGGCAACACCAGCGCAACGATGCTCAGCAGGCACAGTGAACCGACTGCAAACGCTGCCCGTGTCAAATGGGGGCACAATCAACGGACGCTCCAGTGGCTGCACGAGCAGACGATCCACATGCGGGTCGACAGCAGCAGGGACAACTTCATTCTCGAGAATGTCCCCGTGTGCAGAGGACAGGACGTCATCCTCACAGTGGCAATTTTCAGTCAACAAATTCATTGTGTAATACCGCTCTGAAATACAATACTTCCTGGTATCATCCATGTCCCTTCTGGATACGTTGATGCGGATGGTCGCCCACAAATTCCTCCCGATGACAGTGTATATCTGCAGCGCACCCTCTGCTCCAAAAAGATCACGTCTCTCACAACAAATTTGATCAAGTTCGCGCCGTCGGCTCGCATCACATAGCCAAAGAATCAAGAGCACGTCAAAGTGAAAGCAAAGCACCGCTGGCAATCACACCAAAAACTTCATCACATGCAGCAGCACCAGCGTCTCAGTCTACTGTGGGGTGTAGAGCGAATAAACGATTGATGTGGGTGTTGGGCAAATTTTTCGTGGCTTGCTAAACCAACATAGGCTGATTGCGTGGGAAGAAACAACAAAAAAACACAAAAGAGAAAAGTCATCCATCCGCAATTTGAGCAATCCACCAATCAATGAAAGTGCAGTGGGTGCTCTCAACCACAACAGAAGTAAAACAAACAAAAAACAAGAAGCCGAAGCGCGGGACGACCAGCGCACACACTCTCATTGCTCCCGTAAAGCAAAACACACACACAGGGAGAGAGAGAGAGAGAGGTCGCCCACTCAATGCAATAAAAACAAAACAGAAACAGTTACGGTGCTCCGCCCATGCAGCCAGGCAGGACGGCAGCGGTGCTTGTCGTGCAAAAGAGAGCACCAACGGGCCTGCATGGGTGTGCATGCAATATATACAATGGGCACATTATGTGTGTGCTTCGTGGGATGAGGTGAGGGCGAGAGTCCATGCAAGGGGACACACACAGAGAGAGTGGGTGAAAGACGAGTGTGTGTGCGGGCGGTGCATGGCTCTCTCTCACTCACTCTCACGCGGCCACCACCGCAGCAGCAGCCGCACACGCAACAACAATAAGAAGAAGAAAAAGAGGGGAGGTGGTGTGGGAGACAGCGGTGCTGCCGTCAATGTCGCCAGAAGTAGATGTAGCATTTGTTTGGGTGGTGTCTGTTTCTGGTGTTTGTGGTTCGACCTCACTGGCTGTGGGAGCATCGTTAGTATTTACGGCATGGGGGTCATTGTGCGGTCCTTTGGCTTCAGGCCGTTGTTCATTTTCATCCTCCTCTTCCGTCTTATCCTGAAAAACACCACTGTCACTTGTGGAGATGGATGATTCTGATGATGCCGCTGGGCCATCGGTATCTGCATCCATCTTTATCGCCTCTTTTGTTGTTGTGTCTTCACTGTTTTGCTCAAGCACGCCATCCGCTGAAGGCGGTTTCGGTGCTGCGGACTCTTTTTCGCTTTGTAAAGGTGGCGCTTTGTGCTTTTCATCGGTTGAATTATGTGAAGCTGTTCGTGTCGGTGGTATTCCTTTTCCTTCTTCTGGATCTCCCGCTTCTCGTGATCGCGCTGCGGGTGTATCTACCCCTGGTGATGGTGATACTGCCGATGTTTGCTGTTCTGGTGACGGTGGTGGTGGTTGTGTTACTGTTACTGTTGTACCTTGTTGCTGCAGCTGGCTGTCGGCAGACAACACGCTGGAAGGGCCGTGTGCCTCCACGCCACTCCGTCCTGCCTCGTTTTTACCTGCTTCCTCACTCGTACCCCGAATGTTCGCTTTTTCTTTTTTATGAGAGGACTCCGGATTTTCTTCGAGTTTTGGAACCTTTTGTGTATCTTTGTTTGTCTCTACAAGGATTCTTTCCGGCGGCTCATTTGTTTCTGGAGATTCCAATTTTAAATCAGAGGGTGCACCGCTTTTATTCTCTGAACCACCAACTTCAGGGGGAATGGAAGATCGAGAAGCACCAACAACAGTAGAAAACTCCGAGGCAGAAACCCCACTTTTGTTAGAATTCCCATTTTCTTCAGAACCGCCACCACCAGAACTGTCGTCATTAGGAACCAGAGACGAAGGGTTACCAACACCAGTTTGACCAACATCAGATTCCGGTGGGTCTTGTGGCGCTTTAGGTGCTTTGAGTGCTTCCGGTAACCCGGTTACTGGCGGTGGTGATGGTGGTACCGAAAGTGAATCTGGATAAATATCGGTTGAATCAGAAACACTTTCGCCAGTCGAAGCTTCAACAGCAGTGATAGGCAACGCCAAATGTAATGACACCGTCGGTGCATTTTTATCACATCCGCTCGACAAAAATGATTTTTTCTTTCCCAAGATTCCCGACGCCATGCAGCCACTCAATAAATTATTGTTGACGTCCCTCGCATAAACCCGGCCGGCACCGCACCACAGCACGCAGAGGGCACACACCAGCAGCACACGGCCAGTCATCATCATCGCCATCATCACTCCTGTCACTTGCGTGTAGCCTTCAAGACAAACTAACTCCCCGTCAACGCTGTGTGAAAGCAAAGGATGAGAGACAAGTCACTCAACCACGCACCGTCCCATCCAGCAATGAGAATCACGCACCACAACAACAACAATTAGGTGGGCGCAGCTCAACAACAATCAAAACAAGAAAAGGAGAAGCACTCCTCGCCGTGCACCGTTCCTCACACTCTCACAGTCACTCTTACTGTTATTCCCTTTCCTCAGGCCCTCACAGGCACGCCACGCTCACTCCAACACGCGCCCCCCCAGCACACGCACTCCGTGATGCGCTCACGCTGCGCCGCAACGTCCGCCACCTCCTCCCTCAGTCAAACAGCTCCGTGTCCTCCACGTCCCTCACAATCGCCGGCATGCCTCGGCCGCACAACACACACGAGGACACATGCAATAGCAACGCCATCCACGCCGCACCGCAAGATAGAGCCATGCGTACAGCACACACACCGCCGCAAAGAAAAGGACGGGTCGAATCCAAGTCCGCGCAGCAGTCCCTTACTCCTCTCCGCCCCGACAAATTGAAATTACGCCCCACAACGGTTTGTGGCGGGTGGCATCCCACACTCAAAATTGAAGCACGGCGCACACCATCCGCTCTCCTCCATGTGCACTCAGCAGGCCGGCGCCCAGTCACCCTCGTGCCATCGCAATGGGGAGCAAATAAAATCTTCGTCGCGGACCATCGGTGCCTCTGGCGGGAAAGAAAGCAGAAGAAATGGGGACATGTCAGCTGCACAATCAGCAGAGACACACCCAACGGAACAAGAAGACACAAAGTAGCAGTCAAAACGGTAGAGACAAAAACATATCCGCAGGGAATTACGAAAAACAGAAAAAAAAATGAAACAAACAAACAAACAAAATGTGGGACCCCTGCAGGACTCAAGGAAAAAAAAAAAGAAAAGAAATTGGTTCGGCAGGACTTTCATGGGCCATGAAGCTAAAGACGATTGGGTGCTTGCACATACTACCTGCACCAACAGAAAAAAAAGGGAAATTAAAATAATAATAAGAAAGATCTCATTATTCCACCACCCCACACAACATCCCTCACATTTCATGCGGCATCCGGCCTGTTCCTCTTATCCTCGTTTCGTGCAGTCCGTGGGACGCACAGCCGCAGGGCCGGCACCACGTGTGGGCGAGAACAAAAGCAAACAAGAGGAGGAAACACTTCGCTCATTACATTATGCAGCAACCGGACATTAGGCAACGAAAAAACAACAGTACTTATTACTAAAGCTGAACTGCATTAAAAAGACATTAAAAACTAAAAACATTGAAAAAATAAAAGATAATTAAAAAAGGGCGGGCAACGCGGCATGTATTCTCCGTGAGGCGTCGCTAATCCACACCCTGTGGCTCAGAAGACTGCCACGACCTAAATACAATCCCATTAAAAGCAGCAACACAAAAGACACGCACACACGCACGGTGTTGTTACCGATTAAATCACGCAGTGTCAATTTCACTTCGTTTTGAGAGGCGAGGCGGTCGTCGGGACTCTCGCCGCTCCACACCCTGCGAGGTGACTGTTTGTAGTGGGATTCGTTTCCAGGGCGTTGTGCCCATTCATCTCTCTTCTGTAATATCCCCAGCAACGTGCTCTCTGAGGCTGTCAACTACTCGAATCTTCTCGGGTGGCGTCGGGGCCGCTTCCCTTGTCGGAGCGGGACACTTTCCTTGAGTGCACGCATCGCAGTGGAGTTCAGTGGGCGGCTGTACAGAAAGACGTTCGTCAGCGTCACATGGGATTAGTGCCCACAGCAGGCGCCAAAGAAAAACCTCAGGACCTCAGGTGGCCTCTCGCCTGCTAACAGCACCTCTTCCTTCCCCAGCGACCGACCAACAATGTGCACAGAGGCCTTGTTGCCTTGCAGCGTGAGTGTACCACTTGTTGTTCTTTCCTCGGCTCCCAAGTGCTGCTCCGTGTCGTTGTCTTGCCTTCGAACGCCGTCTCCCACTTCTTATTGTGGCTGCACGACAGTCCCACGGTATGATTGGACGCAGTGTGCGCCAGCACCGCAGTCAGTGGAGGAGTGTTCCCACCCGGAGCCTCTTCGATGGTCACCGACGCCACAAGTGTGAAGTTGTGTCTCAAGAATACATGAAGTACTTCATCACCCCAAGTGTTCACAGGCCATATTGCCCTGGACTCAAGTCCCGTCAATTGAAACCCATCGTTGTCCTTCACTGCATTCGTCACCGTTGCATTCAAGCAAAGGTACTCGTCGTTCCACGTGTCATCACTGGCCGCATCGGACAAAACTGCCACAAGACCCGCCGTGGGTGTAGACAAGCTGGAGAAGAAAATGTCCTTTTGCACCCAATTACCGAGGACGGAATTGATTGCACTCAATCCCTCCGTCATGCAGGAAAGTGAGATGACACGGCATTCACCGTTGCCCCTCTCCGTTGTAAAAGACGCAAACTGCCATCCGAGTGCAGCAGGGTGCTGGCGAGCATCCAATCCGCAGCATTGTCCACGGCAACCGGTCCAAAATAAAACGAGCGGTTGTTGTCCGTGACCCAAAGGCAGAGCGCAGTGGCCCTTTTCTTCCCAGAGGTGTGCCCTCCCTGTGCGCACAGCATGACCTTTCCTTCCTCAATGGTCGCGGTGATGAGGGCATCCACACGCAGGCTTTCCTTCTGAGAGACTCCTGATCGTGCGTTGCCCCACACGCGCGAGAGTGTCCCGATGGCCTCCGTCCACTTTGCCCCCATGTCACGCGACGCCTACACCCTCTGGCCATTCTCGCAGTCACCATCATGAGAAGTGATCCCTCCCACTCGGTGACGTGGGGTTAAGGCATTCCGCAGGGGGAAATGTCTTCACGGAGCGACCAGGCACTGCCGCTGTCCGTCGAGCAAATGATCATGGAGCAAACGTCTTCCGCTTCATTCACCGCCATCAGAAGAAACACAGGCGTGCCATCCTCCATCACAACACCTGCGCCACCAGAAGCAATAAAATCCGTCCATTAACCTTGTGAGAAGCAGAAGAGATCAGTTTCGGGAGTGGTTTGGGGTCGCCCCATTCGATCCGTCCACTCTGCCTGCCACCCGTGGGATTCGTGACATCACCCACAAACAGTTTCAGCTCCAAGCCGCCCTCTCTCCAGCATCCACTTTCATAGGACACATCAGAGCCTCCCGCAGGAGGAAACACTCTGTGGCCCTTCGTGATTGTTGTGGGGCGGAGCACAACACCCAAACTCTCCTCTCCCTCCGCTGCACCAAGCACAGTGTGTGCCCTCCATGCATCCTTTCATTGACCTCACCAACAACAGTGGACCAATTCCACGCAGAGTCGATGCACCCCGCAACCACATCAGAAGAAAAGGGCTCACTTAATTGACCACCTTGATATCCGGCATCCATGTGACCCTCAGCGAAAGCAGCAATTACTCCACCAGCACTGAAGAGAGAGGGTGAAGCAAACGAATCCCTCGTCGTAACTGGAACAATCCCATCCTTCGGCTGCACCAGCGTCGTCTGCGGTAAAAACAGAACAACTCCACGCGGCAACTCAACGTTTATTGAACCACTCATCGCATCATCAATGGGATCCCCCTGCGGCTCGGTGACAGGCGTGGGCCTTCTTTCGGATGGTATCGGAGCCACTTTTGTGTTCCGAATAAAGGCAAACTCAGGCTTCGTCTCGGACGTGTTGGTCGCCGTGTTGGATGCGGGACTCGGATCGACGGTGTTGGGTCCGTCAGCCGCGGCAGACTGTCGCCAATCCTCGTTTTGGCGTGACGGCTCAGCATTAACTTGCGGCGCAGTTGTCCACCAGATTTTGTGTCATCCTTCCCTTCACGGGGTGGCGGCAACTGACAGATGCCCGTCCGGTCAGCATCGCCGCTCCGTGCAGGCGGATGGATGGTTCCATCGGGAGGAAATTGACGCCGCCACAATTCATAAGGGCCGGCGTATTTATGTGTCGTCACATTCATCGTGAAGGCAACGGTGGCCCCTTCCTCCTTCCTTGCACAGCTGGCAGCACAGTTGCTACATGTGTGCACCGCATTGGCCACATGGCACACAGCACCCAGCTCACCATCTCTGCCATGCATGCGCACACCAAAGCCACTGAAAGTATAATTCTCATGCTGAGCCTCAGCACTGGCTGCAGAACACTTCTTCCACGCCTACACGCACACGACAGCTCAGGCTGCCGTCACTCGGAGCACACGACACATCCACCGGCACAACCACCGCATCCGCAGCACCAGATACATCTCCAGGACTCCCAGCAGCAGCACAAGAGCGCAAGGACCAACACGGCGCGCACCACACGGAGCCGCACCGTCACCATCGTCACCATCGCAGCCATCGTCACCCGTGGTGGAGTCGCTGCAGTCAATCAGCTGATCTGTGAGCCAGAAGGAAAAGAATGCAACAAGAGGGAGAGGAACGGAGTGCAACGGATACAGCGAGAGAGAGCAGACAACATGAGGAGAAGGCAGCAGGCCCAGCCGCACACTTCACACACCACGAGACGGCATCCACGCAAGGAAGGCACACAACGCCAGCAGCCACCCACCATGCAGGAGGACAACACATCCACCACCATCTCCCCCCAGCTCATCGCTACAGCCCCAGGGAAATGGCAAAACCCCGCGGCCACCACACAACGCTCGCGGAGCAAGCACCCACCACACCAGCCACACGCGCCAGTGGACCCTCATCCATCCATGACGCGGCAACAAAATTTCCAGCCATCCCGCCCTCAGTGGGACACGGAGCCCAACTCAACGCAGCCACACGCGGTGCATCACACCCACAGGAAAGGAGACTCGGGCTGCGCGCTCCCTCCTCCTCACTTCTCCTCATGGCCACGGAAGAAGACAACAGCCGCCACACGCAACTGCCAGCATGCACTGCAAAAGAAGCACTCAAATCCACTGCAATGTGCATCTTGTGTGTGTGTGGTTGTGTGTGCCTGCAGAAACACAAAGCGAAGAAGTATAAAAAAGAAAGCAGAGTGTGTGGAGAGACGCACAAAATGTACAGCAGAGACGCATGGCGGAAACAACAAGAAGAAGACCGCTCAAACTCATGACTGCACTGCATTCCAAGCAGTGGCAATCCACACAAGATTTATCCAAAACAAACAAAAAAACAACCGTCCCCTTCGTCTTATATAAACCCCATCACACAAAATAATTATAAATAAAAAAGAAATCGTCCATTACTGTTCCACACAAATTTAAAAATAAGGAAAGAAGTCGCCTGGCTGCCGTGTGGCCACACCAAACTGTCTGTATATATTTTGCGGGCAAAAGAAATTTTAAAAGATATTTAAGTGTCTTTCAACCGTCTGACCCTCCATGTGTCCGCACATCGTTTATATTTCATGGGGTCATCTGCGTGTTGCTGCTCCCCTCAGCCCTCTCATCGGCGCGTGAGTGCGGCCCGCAGCGCACAGTCACTCGTGTGTGCATGGGGACTGAGAGAAGCACGCAGACACGACGGGAGTCGCGTCACTCCATCGGGAGAGTGAGCGCAGCAAAAGAAAAAAATCATCAGGAGGGAGAGAAATGCTGACGGGACTGCCAGCGCGTGAAATGAACACGAAAACAAAAGAAAAAGAAAACACGGCGGCAGGGTGTGGCTGTGTGTGTGTGGCGCTGCGGGTGTCTGCCCGCCCTGGCCGCAAAAAAGAAAACAAAACAAGAGGGAAAGAAATGTGTGCTCCGCCCCACAGGCCCTCGTCGCACGCCCACACGTCACGGCTCCCTCAGCGCGCCGTTCGTCGCGGCCCCTCCTCATGCGTGCAGCAGGCGAGCCGCACAGGGCCGTCGTCATGAGCGTGTCGGTGGGTGTGCGAGTGGAGCAGTTGGGCGGGAAACACACGGCACCCCTCACAGGAAGAGTGCAGCAAGAAACAATTAAAGAGGGAAGAATAAAAAAAAAGAAAAAACGTCCATAGTGATTGCCCCAAAAGCAAAAAAGAAGGGATGAGAGATTAGAAAAAAAAAATTTTTTAAACAGGAAAAGAAGCAAACAGGAAAATAAATTTAAAATACGCAAAAAAAAAAGTAAAAGTATTGGAGATATTTGTTATCGGGGAAGTAATTCCGTGCGGAGGAGGGCGCAAGTGTCCCACGCGGCAGCCAGTCACTCCTCACAGTGCCGCAAATCCCCACAGTCCCAGCAGAAGGAGCAGCGGCAGCAGCCCGCTTCTGTAAACATTGCCAGCATCACCCGTTGCTCCTCCAACGGCATGGGAGTTCGAAGCTGTCGGCACTTGCTGTGTGGTGACAGGCTTCCCCTCCGTTGTTATTTGCTGTGCCTCACTTTCTTTTCGAGGCCGTCGCAAGGCCGCTTGTTCTTCTGGAGCTTCAGAAGGTTTCGTCGCAGGGAGGGCCACAATTTGTTCCCCTTCCACGGATGGAGAATTGGCTTCCACTGATTCCGGATCTTCCGATGGCGAATCGGCATCTTCTTCCACATCGGCATTCTCACCTGAAAATGAAAACGGGAGGTTGTACAGCAGGACGTTCCTCACAGTCACAGACACGCCTTCTTCGCTCCCTGCGCTGCCCCCATCCCCTCCAATATAGAAGTGTGAGATCCTCGTCGAATCCGTAGTTTCCAATTCACGTTCCACACTCCCACACACACGCTGACCATCGACGTACGCAGAGCCCTGACTGCCGTTCTGCAGCACAATGGCCACTTGGTGTGTTGTATCTTTCTCCCAAGTGCTTTTAAGCTTCTTGATCTTTCCGTCACAGCACAGCACCCGCCACTTCTTTTCGCTGTCGTACGACAACTCCATAAGCTTTTTTTCACCACCATCAAGACGCACACCCATCAAAGGAATGGAGTTACCTTCCTCCGGCACCTCGTGAATGGACACCGTGGCCACAAGAGTGAAGTTGTAGTTCGCAAAGTGGTACAGCTGATTCTCCCCCTGCTCGCCAACGGGCCACTCCGCCCACGATCCCTGGAAAGTCACACCATCGGAATTCTCAGCTACCTCTGTTGCCGCCCCAACACCGCTCCTTACTGTGGCGTTCACGCCGAGGTACTCGTCCCCCCATGTGTTCCCAGAGAAGTCGCCGGACAAAAAGCCAACCAGCCCAGTCGTGCTCGTAATATCGCCGCAGGGACTGTCAGTTGAGGAATCCTCCGTAGCACTTGAAGTGGGGCAAAGCTTGGAGACACGTTTGTCCACATTCTTCCATGTCGTCAGCACCTCCTTCACCCGCTGCAGCTGCGCTGTCAGAAGCACAGAGACCATACCGAATGATGTTGTATCCTCACCGCCCTTCTTCTTCTCGTACAGTGCAATCAACTCCTCCTTCTTATTATTCCCACTTTTGTACAACAGGGAGCTGGCGGCAGCGTCCTCATCTTCCTCGGACACCGGCCCAATATCAACAATGTGCGTATTGTCCGTCAGCCAAAGATGGAGTTCACCCTTTCGATTGTTGTTTCCATTTTTCTCTTTTTTGGAATACACCGGCAGTGTAACGAGCATCACATCCCTGTTATTATCGACACCGTCAATCGTCGCTGTGATGAACCCGCTTGTAACGCCCTTCGCAGGTCCCTTGTGTTTGTTGCCCCACACGCGCGAGAGTGTCCCGAGTGCCTCCGTCCACGAATCCCCCTTGTCAGCGGACTCGTACACCCTGCGGCGGCCACCATCACACGCAGTCATCATCATGAGTTTTTTGTCCTTCCACTCCACGACGGAGGGATCACCGCAGCCATCGGCAGACATCCCCTTCGACAGCTTCCAATTTATATTGTCCGAAGAGTGTATAATCAGCGAAACGGTCTTTCCATCCTCTTCGGCGTCGGCCTCCTTCTTTTTGGTGCCTTCCAATGGGAACACAAGCGTATCGTCCTTCATCTTAACGCCCGATCCACCGCCTCCAATCAGCCGCTTCAAGATACTGTGTTGGTTGCCTTTATAAGTCCACGGAATGGCGTAAGTATCGTTCCAATAAATTCTTTTATCATTTTGGTTCTCACCACTGACGTGTCCTTTCACCAGCATGAGTCCCCAGCCAACTGCCTGATAATTTTCGGCATATGCCCAACTATAGTTTCCAGCAAGCATGTAAATATCACTTCCCTTCACAACTGTTGTTGGTCGGCTCACATGTACTTTAGTCTTGCTTTGAGAATCATCCTGACCCGCTATACGGCAGGCGCATTTCTCTTCGCTACCGGCAGGACATTTCCCTCCTTCAAATATACATCCCTCCGGTACTTGTGTCTTCAGTTTAGTTTTCTCCAAGTCCTCTTTTGGCTTATCATCAGTCAATGTCAACAACTCCGAGGCAATCCCAGTAAAACCGCTGCCTCCCTTCGTGCACTGCGCCTCGGCAACGGCAAACACACCATCATTCATCTCAAAAAGACTGGGAACACGGAGCGAACTCACTGTTTCATCAGCTGTTGTATCTCTCCAAGCAAAAGGTGGCTTTGGTGAGGATCCCGAACCGGACAAAGTCTCCTTACTGGATGCGGCCCCTCCAGTGCTGCAGCACATCATCACGACGAGAAGCAGCACCGCGGAAGTAAACACATGCCGGGACATGTTGGGCCTCGGCGGCTCACTCTCTCTTCCTTCCCTCCTCCTTCTGCCGGATCCGGTCACGCGGCGACGGTTGTGTGTGCGGGGTGCCTTCACTGCAGCAACACGTGAGTGCATACAAATATGTGTGTGTGTGTGGACGGTGTGTGTGCTGTTGTTGTTGGTCCTTTCAGAGCCTTCGAACTTCACAGTAGCGTTTAGCGCTTGTTTGCTTTCTTCGTAAGAGAGTGACAGAAATGAAGAAAAACAGGCTAATAAAATATGGGTGAAAGAGTAAGCACCGCCACCCACCCACAGTGAGTGGCATCATCATCCCCGCCGCAGCCACTCCCAACAACAACAACTCACGCACACAGACACACGGAACAGGAGAAGGAAGAACAGTGCACCGGGAATACACAGCGACTGCCACCACCACCAGCAGCAGCAGGAGCCACGGCGGGTGCGTCGTTACTCGTTACATTTCAGCGCACACCGAGCGACGCCCACACCCAGCAAAGCAACCGGCAGAATGCAAAAGAGAACAAGACCGTTCTTTGCAAAGCCCACGCGCTGCCGCCAGTCGTTTTACTGTTCTCCCTTCCAGCGCACCCTCCAACGCACATCGCCCCACAGAGGCAAAGAATCCCTGACCAAAGTATACACAGCATAGGAGATACACATTGGCACGTGCAGCAGCTGGACGAGAAACAATCCGTACTTGTCCCAGGCACCCTAACCCACACCACCCAATCGACTGCACGCCAGCAACGTGTCAAAAAATAAATCGCAGGCTCCCGTCCTCCCTCCTCGCAAGGGATTTCGCAGCCAGAATCTTCTGCATGCATCCGTCCTCAGCAATCACGCAGCTCTACAGAGTATGCATAATGGCGTGTTTGTGTGCTTGTGTGTTTGTCAAAGCCTGTACATGCAGAGCAGCTGTGCGCCACAAGAGAGTCCAAAGAAGGCAGTGGAATAAAGAGAAGCGGATAGCAAACAAGCAAACTAGTCATACCTTTACACACACGCAGCCCACGGAATGGGTGCACTCAACCACAACACAATGAAAAACAAAACAAAAAGCCGAAGCGTGGGACGACCAGCGCACACACTCTCATTGCTCCCGTAAAGCAAAACACACACACAGGGGGAGAGAGAGAGAGAGAGGTCGCCCACTCAATGCAATAAAAACAAAACAGAAACAGTTACGGTGCTCCGCCCATGCAGCCAGGCAGGACGGCAGCGGTGCGTGTCGTGCAAAAGAGAGCACCAACGGGCCTGCATGGGTGTGCATGCAATATATACAATGGGCACATTATGTGTGTGCTTCGTGGGATGAGGTGAGAGCGAGAGTCCATGCAAGGGGACACACACGGAGAGTGAGTGAAGGACAAGTGTGTGTGCGGGCGGTGCATGGCTCTCTCTCACTCACTCTCACGCGGCCACCACCGCAGCAGCAGCCGCACACGCAACAACAAGAAGAAGCAAAAGAGGGGAGGTGGTGTGGGAGACAGCGGTGCTGCCGTCACTGTTTTGTGTGCTCGTCGTATCAGTTGTGTTGGCGGTTACTGTCGTTGCTTTTGTATCTTCTCCAGTCCCTTCTGAGCCTTTTTCTCGGTGTCCATGTGGTGTGGCTGCGGTCGCAGGCGGCGAAACATTTTTTTTACCTTCACTTGTAGTGTCTTCGCCATCCTTTTCGCGGGAATCAACACCGTCTTCTGGAGGTGATGGAGGAATTCCACCCGCAATGCCCTCAAGCAGTGTGTTCTCTCCGTTACCTGGTGTGAGTGTGTTCTCTACGGGTGGATTTTTGTCGGGCTCCTTCTTTTCTTCAACTTCCGGTTGCGTAGGATTGGCATTTGATTCCTGACTGCCGGAAGGTAAAATGCCTCCTGCAGATGCAATTGACTGGTTCTTTTCATTCTCACTGCCAATTAAATTCTCTTCCCTGGAATCTGAGCCTATTGCAACTGTTCCTCCTTTACCACCCCGCCCTTCTATACTTTCTTCTTCAGCCTCCGTCTCTTTATCTTCATCATCACCACCGTCATCTCCTTCACCTCCTTCATCACCACCTGCATTCCCATCTTGAGGAAGGGAAGATATTGGTGATACTTCTTCTTTAACAACTGTTACTCCATTTTGTAAGCCTTGGGAGCCTACTCGAGGCGTTACAAGTGGTTTTGAACCTGGTAGAAGTTCAGCACCACTCACACGACCTGCCGCCTCCCCTTCATCACATCTACTGCCGGCACTGCACCACAGCACGCAGAGGGCACACACCAGCAGCACACGGCCAGTCATCATCATCGCCATCACTCCTGTCACTTGCGTGCAGCCTTCAGCACAAACCAACTCCTCGTCAACGCAGTGTGAAAGCAACAGAAGAGAGACAAGTCACACAAACACCGCATCGTAACAAGTGGCAGCACCCCAGCAGCAGCAGCGCACACACCATTACACAAATTAATCCAGCACAAATCCAAAACTCGCACAACACCCGGCAAAAAAATTAAAAATGAAAAAAAAGATATTATAGAAAAATACCACAAGACTCCGCTGCGCATGCATATGAGTGTGTCTGCGACGCGTTCAACGTGGCGGATGTGGGGAGCGACGCGGAGCACACAGCAGGGCAGCGGAAGCAAACAAAGCAAAAAACAATCATCATAATTACTCTTACTTTATACATCGGACCACAGTAGACGTACACATGTCCCCGTGGATAAGTGCTGGCACGCACAGCCCACGCTCACTTTCAGCCCACAGCGGTGTACGCCAGCGCGGATACGGCGAGCAGCAGCGGGGCACACACCCACGCAGAGCTGCTGAAACTGCCGTCGATTTTGCGCAGACGTGACGGTGCGCGGGTGGTCGTCGTAGTGGTTGTAGTCGTAGTGCTTGGCGCCTCTGGCGCAGTGGTCGTCGTGGTGGTTGTAGTCGTAGTGCTTGGCGCCTCTGGCGCAGTGGTTGTCGTGGTGGTCGTAGTACTTGGTGCATTTTCCTTCTGAATTTGTGACGACACCGAACCGACCGTCCCAATTTGTGCCACTGGGTTAGCGGACCCACCTGAACCCCCTGACTCACCTGACCCACTTGGTTCCTGTTTTGTACCAAGCTCCAGACTTGTTGTATCTGAACCGTCTGGCAGAGCGGGTCCAAGATCTGTCCCTTTTCCGGAATCGCCCGTCCTGCCTGATGTCTGTTCCCCACCGCCCGAGTTTTTTAACCCCGGCGTGTCTTTCTCATCTCGATTTTGTACCGTAGCGCTCCCGGAACTTGTTCCTTGTGATTTTTCTTTCTCACTTCGTGGATGTTCCGCACTGTTCCCCGCAATCTCTGGCGTACCGGCCACTCCACCTGTCTCTTTTCCGGTATCGGTCCTCTTACCTGATCCCCCTCCCGCAACAACCAAACCTGCTTGAGCTGCCGCACCGGCACTATCCGTAACCAAGACTGTAGGGGTTTGTGGATTTGAAGAACTGGCCCCCAGAACTGGCTGCTGTAGCGGTGTCGTCTGAACACTGGGTACATCCTGTCCCGCGTCAGCAGTCACTGTCACGCACACGGACGGGCAGCAGCACAGGGCGAGCACCAACAGGGCGCACAGCAGACGGCACGTCATCATCATCGTGAGTGTGGTCGTTCAGTGGTGTGGAGCTGATCTGCACAGTGAGGGACATGGAGAGCAACAGGGGAGACGAGAGGTGCGGCAGACACACACAGAGGGCAAGACCACGTGAGGAGAGGGCAGCAGCCAGGCATGCACCGTACGCCGCACACCACGCACGACACACACTCCAATCCACGGCAACAGGCACACACACAGGGAGAGAGAGAGAGGGATGGAAGAGGCAGAGGCACACAAGGCTCCACCGCATCCACATACGGCGAGAGCGGTCCGTCGTGTCTGGACCCCTCACAGAGGGCACGCAAACACAAAAAAAAAGGTGCAGTGCAAACAGCAAAGTAACAATAAAAAAAGAAGAGATCCCCGCACACCACGCGGATTGTTGATCCACGGGAAGTGCAGCCAATATTCATCACAAAAACAATTCAGTTGCCTTCGGCCTCCGTTCATATTCAGCGTACACCACTTCATGCAAGCCCAGTCACCACCGCAGCAGCCGCACACGGAACAAGAAAAATAAGCGCAGGGAATGGAATAAATCAAGCAACCATTTATTTGTGTTTCTTTTTGGAGGGTGGCATATGTCTGCATGCGTTTTGTTGTTTTTTTTTTTTTTGCGGAGGGTGAACATTTGCGCCTGGTCGTGTATTGGGGATTTCTGCAGAGTGCACAATTATGTTTTATCTTCTCGTGTGAATGTTTCTTGTATTGGTGCAGCCAATAATTCGGTTTGTGTTGTTCCTGCTTTTCGATGGTAAAGTGTTGCAATAGATGCTTGTTTTTCCTTTCGTTGCTGTGGCACCTGATTCCTCACCGTTTATTGCGATGGAAATGAAAATATGTGAGTGGACTCCCACACACCAGAACGCACCTTCGCTCCTATTTATTGGTGCATGGAAGGGCATGTGTGTTTGGTGGTGTCTCGTCCATATATTTTGTGGGTGTACATTCCCCTGCAGGCTGAGGGCGGGATGACGCTCCGTCGCGGTGCACTTCCCTCGCATGCCGCCCACTGTGATCCATCATGCATCATCCCCTCACATATTCCGTGGTGCCACACCGCTGATATTATTGCAGCCGCCGTGATTCCGCGTACTTCACGCATTTCATTGTGCCACAATACATCCGCTCGTGTGACCGCCGCATCCAAACAGTGGCGCCCAACACCGTGAGCGGCAGTCCACATCCTTGCATACCCCAACGCAGTGGTGTTTGACTGTCAGCCAGGCGTCACACAACAGGAGAGTATTGTGCTGGCAGTACAACACACGGAGCTGCAGTGAATGACTCGGGCGGGGACGCATCTATTTGTCGCAAAGCAGTGAAAAGGAGTCGGGCAAAATAATGCCGGCTGCATTCACGACACCACATCCACAGCCAAAGCATGCGACGTGATGTGTGTTTCACTGGTGCTGTGAAATGCCTGCAGACGACGTCACTAGTGGAGGCATGCCACCCATGATCAGCGGACAGACAATAATCGGCATGGCAGGCCACAAAAGGCAGCAACGACACCAGCAGCAGGAGCAGCTCTCTCTCTCTCTCTCTCTCTCTCTCTCTCTCTCTCTGTTGCCTCCGAGAAGTAAATAGTCCACCAGCCACAGCCGACTGTGCCATCGTGACACTCCATGCACGTCGTGGCTGCGTCAACACATCCTGTTCCCTGCAGCGCCTCGAAAGATGCCTCAATCCGTCCACTAAGTGCATCGGTGTGGGCCGTGCCTGGGCTGTTCGTGAAGACCACAACGATGTGAGGATCACCGAGTCGCAGCATGTTTGTTGTGACGTTGTTGCATGGCACCTGCACACACACACGCAGCGCCTGCATCCCTCCTTTTGTGTTCGCCCTCCGCCGGAGTCGTCACACACACGAGCAGCAGCAGCAGCAGCAAGAGCGCAAGGACCAACACGGCGCGCACCACACGGAGCCGCACCGTCACCATCTTCATCATCGCAGCCATCGTCACCCGTGGTGGAGTCGCTGGAGTCAGTCAGCTGATCCGTGAGCCAGAAGGAAAAGAATGCAACAAGAGGGAGAGGGACGGAGTGCAGCGGATGCAGCGAGAGAGAGAGCAGACAACATGAGGAGAGGGCAGCAGGCCCAGCCGCACACTTCACACACCACGAGACGGCATCCACGCAAGGAAGGCACACAACGCCAGCAGCCACCCACCATGCAGGAGGACAACACATCCACCACCATCTCCCCCCAGCTCATCGCTACAGCCCCAGGGAAATGGCCAAAACCCCGCGGCCACCACACAACGCACACGGAGCAGGTAATCACCACACCAGCCACACGCGCCAGTGGACCCTCATCCATCCATGACGCGGCAACAAAATTTCCAGCCATCCCGCCCTCAGTGGGACACGGAGCCCAACTCAACGCAGTCACACGCGGTGCACCACACCCGCAGGAAAGGAGACTCGGGCTACGCGCTCCCTCCTCCTCACTTCTCCTCATGGCCACGGAAGAAGACAACAGCCGCCACACGCAACTGCCAGCATGCACTGCAAAAGAAGCACTCAAATCCACTGCAATGTGCATCTTGTGTGTGTGGTTGTGTGTGCCTGCAGAAACACAAAGCGAAGAAGTAAAAAAAGAAAGCAGAGTGTGTGGAGAGACGCACAAAATGTACAGCAGAGACGCATGGCGGAAACAACAAGAAGAAGACCGCTCAAACCCATGACTGCACTGCATTCCAAGCAGTGGCAATCCACACAAAATTTATCCAAAACAAAAAAAAAAAAAAGACGTCCCCTTCGTCTTATATAAACCCCATCACACAAAATAATTATAAAAAAGAAATCGTCCATTACTGTTCCACACAAATTTAAAAATAAGAAAAAGAAGTCGCCTGGCTGCCGTGTGGCCACACCAAACTGTCTGTATATATTTTGTCCACAAAAGAAAATTTTAAAAGATATTTAAATGTCTTTCAACCGTCTGACCCTCCATGTGTCCGCACATCGTTTATATTTCATGGGGTCATCTGCGTGTTGCTGCTCCCCTCAGCCCTCTCATCGGCGCGTGAGTGCGGCCCGCAGAGCACAGTCACTCGTGTGTGTGGGGGGACTGAGAGAAGCACGCAGACATGACGGGAGTCGCGTCACTCCATCGGGAGAGTGAGCGCAGCAAAAGAAAAAACATCAGAGGGAAAGAAATGCTGACGAGACCGACCCCGAAGGGACTGCCACCGCATGGAATAAACACGCAAAGCAAAAATCCTTAAAACACGGCGGCAGGGTGTGGCTGTGTGTGTGTAGCGCTGCGGGTGTCTGCCAGCCCTGGCCGCAAAAAAGAAAACAAAACAAGAGGGAAAGAAATGTGTGCTCCGCCCCACAGGCCCTCGTCGCACGCCCACACGTCACGGCTCCCTCAGCGCGCCGTTCGTCGCGGCCCCTCCTCATGCGTGCAGCAGGCGAGGCGCACAGGGCCGTCGTCATGAGCGTGTCGGTGGGTGTGCGAGTGGAGCAGTTGGGCGGGAAACACACGGCACCCCTCACAGGAAGAGTGCAGAAGAAACAATTAAAAGGAGGGAAGAATAAAAAAAAAGAAAAAACGTCCATGATGATTGCCCCAAAAGCAAAAAAGAGGGGTTGAGAGATTAAAAAAAAAAATTTTTTAACAGGAAAAGAAGCAAACAGGAAAATAAATTTAAAATACGCAAAAAAAAAAGTAGAAGTATCAGAGATATTTGTTATCGGGGAAGTAATTCTGTGGTGGGGAGGGCGCAAATGTCCCACGCGGCAGCCAGTCACTCCTCACAGTGCCGCAAATCCCCACAGTCCCAACAGAAGGAGCAGCGGCAGCAGCCCGCTTCTGTAAACATTGCCAGCATCACCCGTTGCTCCTCCAACGGCATGGGAGCCCGAAGCTGTCGGCACTTGCTGTGTGGTGACAGACTTCCCCTCCGTTGTTATTTGCTGTGCCTCACTTTCTTTTCGAGGCCGTCGCAAGGCCGCTTGTTCTTCTGGAGCTTCAGAAGGTCTCGTCGCAGGGAGGGCCACAATTTGTTCCCCTTCCACGGATGGAGAATTGGCTTCCATTGATTCCGGATCTTCCGATGGTGAATCGGCATCTTCTTCCACATCGGCATTCTCACCTGAAAATGAAAACGGGAGGTTGTACAGCAGGACGTTCCTCACAGTCACAGACACGCCTTCTTCGCTCCCTGCGCTGCCCCCATCCCCTCCAATATAGAAGTGTGAGATCCTCGTCGAATCCGTAGTTTCCAATTCACGTTCCACACTCCCACACACACGCTGACCATCGACGTACGCAGAGCCCTGACTGCCGTTCTGCAGCACAATGGCCACTTGGTGTGTTGTATCTTTCTCCCAAGTACTTTTAAGCTTCTTGGTCTTTCCGTCACAGCACAGCACCCGCCACTTCTTTTCGCTGTCGTACGACAACTCCATAAGCTTTTTTTCACCACCATCAAGACGCACACCCATCAAAGGAATGGAGTTACCTTCCTCCGGCACCTCGTGAATGGACACCGTGGCCACAAGAGTGAAGTTGTAGTTCGCAAAGTGGTACAGCTGATTCTCCCCCTGCTCGCCAACGGGCCACTCCGCCCCTGCACCACGATCCCTGGAAATTCACACCATCGGAATTCTCAGTTACCTCTGTTGCCGCCCCAACACCGCTCCTTACTGTGGCGTTCACGCCGAGGTACTCCTCCCTCCATGTGTTCCCAGAGAAGTCGCCGGACAAAAAGCCAACCAGCCCATCCGTGATCTTAACAGCGCCGCAGGCAGTGCCAGATGAGGTGTCCTCTGTAGCAATTGAAGTGGGGCAAAGCTTGGAGACACGTTTGCCCACATTCTTCCATGTAGTCAGCACCTCCTTCACCTGCTCCAGCTGCGCAGTCAGAAGCACAGAGACCATACCGAGTGATGATTTCTCCCCTTCGGCCTTCTTCTCGTACAGTGCAATCAACTCCTCCTTCTTATTATTCCCACTTTTGTACAGCAGGGAGCTGGCGGCAGCGTCCTCATCATCCTCGGATACCGGCCCAATATCAACAATGTGCGTATTGTCCGTCAGCCAAAGATGGAGTACGCCTTTTTCATTTTTCTCTTTTTTGGAATACACCGGCAGTGTAACGAGCATCACGTTTCTCTTGCCATCTCCATCACCAAGAGTCGCTGTGATGAACCCGCTTGTAACGCCCTTCGCAGGTCCCTTGTGTTTGTTGCCCCACACGCGCGAGAGTGTCCCGAGTGCCTCCGTCCACGAATCCCCCTTGTCAGCGGACTCGTACACCCTGCGGCGGCCACCATCACACGCAGTCATCATCATGAGTTTTTTGTCCTTCTCCCACTCCACGACGGAGGGATCACTGCAGCCATCGGCAGACATCCCCTTCGACAGCTTCCAATTTATATTATCCGAAGAGTGTATAATCAGCGAAACGGTCTTTCCATCCTCTTCGGCGTCGACCTCCTTCTTTTTGGTGCCTTCCAATGGGAACACAAGCGTATCGTCCTTCATCTTAACGCCCGATCCACCGCCTCCAATCAGCCGCTTCAAGATACTGTGTTGGTTGCCTTTATAAGTCCACGGAATAGCGTAAGTATCGTTCCAATAAATTCTTTTATCATTTTGGTTCTCACCATTGACGTGTCCTTTCACCAGCATGAGTCCCCAGCCAACTGCCTGATAATTTTCGGCATATGCCCAACTATAGTTTCCAGCAAGCATGTAAATATCACTTCCCTTCACAACTGTTGTTGGTCGGCTCACATGTACTTTAGTCTTGCTTTGAGAATCATCCTGACCTGCTATACGGCAGGCGCATTTCTCTTCGCTACCGGCAGGACATTTCCCTCCTTCAAATATACATCCCTCCGGTACTTGTGTCTTCAGTTTAGTTTTCTCCAAGTCCTCTTTTGGCTTATCATCAGTCAATGTCAACAACTCCGAGGCAATCCCAGTAAAACCGCTGCCTCCCTTCGTGCACTGCGCCTCGGCAACGGCAAACACACCATCATTCATTTCAACAAGACTGGGAACACGGAGCGAACTCACTGTTTCATCAGCTGTTGTATCTCTCCAAGCAAAATATGGCTTTGGTGAAGATTCCGCACCTGACGCTGGCTCTTCAGCTTGTGCACCTCCACCAGTGCTGCAGCACATAATCACGACGAGAAGCAGCACCGCGGAAGTAAACACACGCCGGGACATGTTGGGCCTCGGCGGCTCACTCTCTCTTCCTTCCCTCCTCCTTCTGCCGGATCCGGTCACGCGGCGACGGTTGTGTGTGCGGGGTGCCTTCACTGCAGCAACACGTGAGTGCATACAAATATGTGTGTGTGTGTGTGGGCGGTGTGTGTGCTGTTGTTGTTGGTCCTTTCAGAGCCTTCGAATTTCACAGTAGCGTTTAGCGCTTGATTTTTTTCTTCGTGTGTAATTGAAAAAGAAAAGAAAAAAATAGAGGGAAAAAATACCAATACAAAAAGCACAAGAGTAAGCACCGCCACTCACCCACAGTGAGTGGCACCATCATCCCCGCCGCAGTCACTCCCAACAACAACAACTCACGCACACAGACACACGGAACAGGAGAAGGAAGAACACTGCACCGGGAACACACAGCGACGGTCACCACCACCAGCAGCAGGAGTCACGGCGGATGTCTTATTCATCACGCGTGTGCACACACCGAGCGACGCCCACACCCAGCAAAGCAACCGGCAGAATGCAAAAGAGAACAAGACCGTTCTTTGCAAAGCCCACGCGCTGCCGCCAGTCGTTTTACTGTTCTCCCTTCCAGCGCACCCTCCAACGCACATCGCCCCACAGAGGCAAAGAATCCCTGACCAAAGTATACACAGCATAGGAGATACACATTGGCACGTGCAGCAGCTGGACGAGAAACAATCCGTACTTGTCCCAGGCACCCTAACCCACACCACCCAATCGACTGCACGCCAGCAACGTGTCAAAAAATAAATCGCAGGCTCCCGTCCTCCCTCCTCGCAAGGGATTTCGCAGCCAGAATCTTCTGCATGCATCCGTCCTCAGCAATCACGCCGTTCTACAGCGTATGCATAATGGCGTGTTTGTGTGCTTGTGTATTTGTCAAAACCTATAATTGCAGAGCAGCTGTGCGCCACAAGAGAGTCAGAAGAAAGCAACGGCAGAGAGAGGCAGATAGCACACACGCAAATTACTCATATCATCACACACAAACACACACACGCAGCCCGCGGAATGGGTGCTCTCAACCACAAAACAATGAAAAACAAAACAAAAAGCCGAAGCGTGGGACGACCAGCGCACACACTCTCATTGCTCCCGTAAAGCAAAACACACACACAGGGAGAGAGAGAGAGAGAGGTCGCCCACTCAATGCAATGGAAACAAAACAGAAACAGTTACGGTGCTCCGCCCATGCAGCCAGGCAGGACGGCAGCGGTGCGTGTCGTGCAAAAGAGAGCACCAACGGGCCTGCATGGGTGTGCATGCATATATACAATGGGCACATTATGTGTGTGCCTCGTGGGATGAGGTGAGAGCGAGAGTCCATGCAAGGGGACACACAGAGAGAGTGGGTGAAGGACGGGTGTGTGTGCGGGCGGTGCATGGCTCTCTCTCACTCACTCTCACGCGGCCACCACCACAGCAGCAGCCGCACACGCAACAACAAGAAGAAGAAGCAAAAGAGGGGAGGTGGTGTGGGAGACCGCGGTGCTGCTGTCACTGTTTTGTGTGCTCGTCGTATCAGTTGTGTTGGCGTTTACTGTCGTTGCATTTGTATCTTTCGCAGTCCCTTCTGAGCCTTTGTCTCGGTGTCTATGTGGTGTGGCTGCGGTCGCAGGCGGCGAAACATTTTTTTTACCTTCACTCGTGGTGTCTTCGCCATCCTGTTCGCGGGAAGCAACACCGTCTTCTGGAGGTGATGGAAGATTTCCTCCCCTAGGCAATGTGTTCTCTCCGTTACCTGGTGTGAGTGTGTTCTCTACAGGTGGATTTTTGTCGGGCTCCTTCTTTTCTTCAACTTCCGGTTGCGTAGGATTGGCATTTGATTCCTGACTGCCGGAAGGAGAAATGCCTCCTGCAGATGCAATTGACTGGTTCTTTTCATTCTCACTGCCAATTAAATTCTCTTCCCTGGAATCTGAGCCTATTGCAACTGTTCCTCCTTTACCACCCCGCCCTTCTATACTTTCTTCTTCAGCCTCCGTCTCTTTATCATCATCATCACCACCGTCATCTCCTTCACCTCCTTCATCACCATCTGCATTCCCATCTTGAGGAAGGGAAGATATTGGTGATACTTCTTCTTTAACAACTGTTACTCCATTTTGTAAGCCTTGGGAGCCTACTCGAGGCGTTACAAGTGGTTTTGAACCTGGTAGAAGTTCAGCACCACTCACACGACCTGCCGCCTCCCCTTCATCACATCTACTGCCGGCGCCGCACCACAGCACGCAGAGGGCACACACCAGCAGCACACGGCCAGTCATCATCACTCCTGTCACTTGCGTGTAGCCTTCAGCACAAACTAACTCCTCGTCAACGGAGAGTGAAAACAACACGAGAGACAAGTCACACAGCCACTCACAGCCAAAGTAACAAACGGCAGCAGCCGCAGCACAAAATGAGGCAGTTGGAATCGGTGCGATTGCAGAATACGCACACAAACACACAGCCCCGCAGCAATGAATCAGCAAGAAAAATAAACACAAAGCAATTTAAAAAAACACGAGTAAAAAAACAGCAATAAATTTTTTAAAAAGAAAAACCACAAGAGAGAAACAGATGCACCACATGGCTCCAGTGTGCATGCACCAGCGCACACAGAAATGCGTCCACGCAAACAGTTGTGGGCGTGTCGTGCATATGAGTGTGTCTGGGACGCGTGCCAAGTGACGGATGTGGGGAGCAACGCGGAGCACACTGCAGGGCAGCGAAAGCAAATGAAGCAAAACACACAATCATTATTTTCTATTAGTTATTACGCAATAAAACAAAAGAAGCGCAATGCATCCCTGTGGTTGAGTGCTGGCTTTAATAGCCCGCATACACTTCTTCAGCCCAGTGTCCCGTACGTCAGTGCAGCCAGAACGAGCGGTGGCAGGGTATGCAGACGGGTGTCATGGAAGCAGGCGTCAGTTCCCACACTGTTCTCCAGCGCGTTCGTTGGGGGTGCAGAGGAAAGGGGAGCCGGCATGCTTGCCGCCGCAGAATTTCCTTCGCTAGAAGCAGTGTCGGTGGTGTTGGCGGTGTCCTCTTCGGCGCCTTCCGCTGCACCCCCGTCCTCGCCGGTCTGGGACAACTGAGTCGGTGGCGCAGCAGCAGTCTCTTCCTGCAGCTCCACTGGAGGGTCATGGGAGGAGTGGCCGCCGCCTTCTGTGGGCTTTGGATCTGGTGGGGATTCGGGTGCAGCAGAAGTAGAATGTGCAGCGCCTTGAAGTTCACCAGAGAGAGCGGTATCCAACGCTCGCAAGGCCGCGGCAGAAGGATCCGTCGTGGCTGCAGCGCCAGCAGCAGAGTTAGCAACAGCGCCGCCTGGAGTTTCAGGTAGAGGAGGAGGAGGGGCACCAGCCGCACCCCCAACGACAGCAGGAGAAGAATCAGAATCTGTTGTGGAGGAGTCACGAGAAGCCTCCTGTTCTCGAGGCCCCGGAGGTCCTTCCGGAGGTTTGGCTGGAACACTTACGACGGTGGCCGCTTTCGGCTCCACGTTACTCTCCCACCAACTCTCCAGGTCGTTTGGAGTGGGCGTATCGACATCGATCGTGATGACACCATCGTTCACACCTCCGTTGGTGCGCCTCTCAACATCCTCGGACGCACAGTTTCCGTCGCCCATGCCGCAAATCTCCGTCCCCACACCACTATCTTCAACCGTGCAGTTGTACCACAATGACTTCCCAGGGAGCTGCCAACGCGCAAGTTTATCCTTACCCGCACACTCTGCATTCACCTGCGTCACCTGCGGCTCTTGCTCCTCCCCTTCCTCCACGGCAAACACGCACGAGCAGCAGCACAGCAGTGCCAGCACCAACACGACACAGAATACACGGTACGTCATCATCGAAACTTTCGTTGTTGAATAACGTGGATTCGATCTGCAGGAACATGAGAAAGGAATTAGAGAGAGACAGCAGCTACACCACGCACAGCCACCGCATGGTAATAAATGGCAGCAGCCAGAGGAAGCGCACACCAAAAAAGACAGATGGAATCATTACAACCGCAGAGCTCACACACCGACCCGCAAACCAAAACTTAAAAAGCAGGAAAAACACAAAAAGGAAAAAAAAAAAAATGATGGGATTCCAACAAAACTCCCAAAACTTAAAAAAAAAATCAATCGGGCAGAAATTCTATTTAATGTGCCAAGAAGCACAATAAAATGACCGTGTGTGTTTGTGTATACATAATGCCTTCACCAAGAAAAGGAATAAAATAAAAAAAGGTTGTACTCTTCCACCAGCCCACGCAACACTCTTCACGCTTCGTGCGGCATCCGGCCTGTTCCTCCAATCCTCGTTTCGTGCAGTCTGTGGGACGCACAGCAATGAGGCCGGCACCGTGTGGGCAACAAAATACAAAACAAAAGGGGAAACACTTGTCACTCATGACAGTGTGCAGCAACCGACCATTAAATAAAGGAACAGCAACGATACTTATCATTCCAGGAAAACAACAAAACCAACAAAGTAAAATGTAAATAATAAAAGAAAACACGCAGGGAACGCGGCACATGTTCTCCGTGAAGAGTCGCAATTCCACACTCTTTGGCTCACAATACCGCCACAACTCCACACAATCCCAGAAGAAGCAGCAACACCAAATACACGCGCACACGCACAGTGCTGTCAACAATTAACTCTCGCAGTGTCAATTTCGCGTCGTTGAGCAGGGCAAAGCAGTCGTCGGGACTCACGCCGTTTACAGAATACTGCGCAGTGAATTCTCGTAATAGGGGTTTTTTCTCGTGTCCAGAGGCATTGCGTTGACTCAATCCGTACGCATCACCCTCAGCAACAAATCCACTGCCTGCAACGCCATTTTCTAAAACGAGAGATTTGTGTCCAGTGGCGCTGCGCTCATTCACCTCGTCTGTGTTATCCGCAGCAACGTGTTCCCTGCCGCCATAAGTGACAGACATGATCCCGAATGCATTCGACGCCACTAATATTCTCGGACCGTTGGCAAAGGAAGGCCTCTTGTTGGATGCATTCGGGACCATCATTTCCTTCGGATTGGCGGCAAACTCAGGCCTCATCTCGGGCGTGTTGGTCGCCATGTTGGATGCGGGACTCGGATCGACGGTGTTGGGTCCGTCAGCCGCGGCAGACTGTCGCCAATCCTCGTTTTGGCGTGACGGCTCAGCATTAACTTGCGGCGCAGTTGTCCCACCAGATTTTGTGTCATCCTTCCCTTCACGGGGGTGGCGGCAACTGACAGATGCCCGTCCGGTCAGCATCGCCGCTCCGTGCAGGCGGATGGATGGTTCCATCGGGAGGAAATTGTCGCCGCCACAATTCATAAGGGCCGGCGTATTTATGTGTCGTCACATTCATCGTGAAGGCAACGGTGACCCCTTCCTCTTTCGCTGCACAGCTGGCAGCACAGTTGCTACATGTGAGCACCGCATTGGCCACATGGCACACAGCACCCAGCTCACCATCTCTGCCATGCATGCGCACACCAAAGCCACTGAAAGTATAATTCTCATGCTGAGCCTCAGCACTGGCTGCAGAACACTTCTTCCACGCACACACGCACACGACAGCTCAGGCTGCCGTCACTCGGAGCACACGACACATCCACCGGCACAACCACCGCATCCGCAGCACCAGATACATCTCCAGGACTCCCAGCAGCCGTCACACACACGAGCAGCAGCAGCAGCAGCAAGAGCGCAAGGACCAACACGGCGCACCACACGGAGCCGCACCGTCACCATCGTCATCATCGCAGCCATCGTCACCCGTGGTGGAGTCGCTGCAGTCAATCAGATGATCTGTGAGCCAAAAGGAAAAGAATGGAACAAGAGGGAGAGGGACGGAGTGCAGCGGATGCAGCGAGAAAGAGAGCAGACAACATGAGGAGAGGGCAGCAGGCCCAGCCGCACACTTCACACACCACGAGACGGCATCCACGCAAGGAAGGCACACAACGCCAGCAGCCACCCACCATGCAGGAGGACAACACATCCACCACCATCTCCCCCCAGCTCATCGCTACAGCCCCAGGGAAATGGCAAAACCCCGCGGCCACCACACAACGCTCGCGGAGCAGGCACCCACCACACCAGCCACACGCGCCTGTGCACCACCAGCTAGTAACAAAGCAAAGCCCAAATTTCCAGCCATCCCGCTCTCAGTGGGACACGGAGCCCAACTCAACGCAGCCACACGCGGTGCACCACACCCGCAGGAAAGGAGACTCGGGCTGCGCGCTCCCTCCTCCTCACTTCTCCTCATGGCCACGGAAGAAGACAACAGCCGCCACACGCAACTGCCAGCATGCACTGCAAAAGGAGCATTCAAACCCACTGCAATGTGCATCTTGTGTGTGTGGTTGTGTGTGCCTGCAGAAACACAAAGCGAAGAAGTAAAAAAAAGAAAGCAGAGTGTGTGGAGAGACGCACAAAAATGTACACCAGAGACGCATGGCGGAAACAACAAGAAGAAGACCGCTCAAACTCATGACTGCACTGCATTCCAAGCAGTGGCAATCCACACAAGATTTATTGAAAACAAACAAAAAAAGAACCGTCCCCTTCGTCTTATATAAACCCCATCACACAAAATAATTATAAATAAAAAAGAAATCGTCCATTACTGTTCCACACAAATTTAAAAATAAGAAAAAGAAGTCGCCTGGCTGCCGTGTGGCCACACCAAACTGTCTGTATATATTTTGCGGGCAAAAGAAAATTTAAAAGATATTTAAATGTCTTTCAACCGTCTGACCCTCCATGTGTCCGCACATCGTTTATATTTCACGGGGTCATCTGCGTGTTGCTGCTCCCCTCAGCCCTCTCATCGGCGCGTGAGTGCGGCCCGCAGAGCACAGTCACTCGTGTGTGCATGGGGACTGAGAGAAGCACGCAGACATGACGGGAGTCGCGTCACTCCATCGGGAGAGTGAGCGCAGCAAAAGAAAAAAATCATCAGGAGGGAGAGAAATGCTGACGGGACTGCCAGCGCGTGAAATGAACACAAAAACAAAAAAAAAAAGAAAAACACGGCGGCAGGGTGTGGCTGTGTGTGTGTGTGGCGCTGCGGGTGTCTGCCAGCCCTGGCCGCAAAAAAGAAAACAAAAAAAGAGGGAAAGAAATGTGTGCTCCGCCCCACAGGCCCTCGTCGCACGCCCACACGTCACGGCTCCCTCAGCGCGCCGTTCGTCGCGGCCCCTCCTCATGCGTGCAGCAGGCGAGGCGCACAGGGCCGTCGTCATGAGCGTGTCGGTGGGTGTGCGAGTGGAGCAGTTGGGCGGGAAACACACGGCACCCCTCACAGGAAGAGTGCAGAAGAAACAATTAAAAGGAGGGAAGAGTAGAAAAAAAAAGAAAAACCGTCCATAGTGATTGCCCCCAAAAAGCAAAAAAAGAGAAGGGATGGGGGAGATAATTAAAAAAAAGTAAGAAAAAAACAATAAGATATTTAAAAGCAAACAAGAAAAAAGAATTTAAAAAGAGTTACGGTGCTCCGCCCATGCAGCCAGGCAGGACGGCAGCGGTGCGTGTCGTGCAAAAGAGAGCACCAACGGGCCTGCATGGGTGTGCATGCAATATATACAATGGGCACATTATGTGTGTGCTTCGTGGGATGAGGTGAGGGCGAGAGTCCATGCAAGGGGACACACACAGAGAGTGAGTGAAGGACGAGTGTGTGTGCGGGCGGTGCATGGCTCTCTCTCACTCACTCTCACGCGGCCACCACCGCAGCAGCAGCCGCACACGCAACAACAAGAAGAAGAAAAAGAGGGGAGGTGATGTGGGAGACAGCGGTGCTGCCGTCAGCGTCGCCAGACGTCACCGTGGCGGTTTTTATACCCGCAACTTCGACCGGTGTTTCCTTCGGTTTATTATCTTTATTTTTATCTTGGTTTTCTTCTGTCCTGGCAACATCGGATTCCGGTGCATTGTTCGGAGTATCTTCTCCAGTGCTCTTGTCCGTTTCGTTATCATCATTATCGCTGGCAACCGTGGGTGTTGGTGTGGTTGATTCGGCTTGACTGTTAGATGGTTCATCCTGCTCGGTGTCTGTGTCTGTGTCAGTGTCCCCCTCTTCCGAATCTTTTGTGGGCTCCGTGTTCACTGAGCCTTCCTCTGAATTTGGCACCGGCACTTCCTCTGCGTTGGTGGGTTGTCCTTTCAGTGGAGGTGATGGTGATACTTTTGTTGGTTTTTCTGGTAAATCACTCAGAGGTCTTCCCGCTAGTGGTGTCGGTGCCTCTTCCGGTGGTGCTTTCGGTTTCTCTTCCGATTTTTTTCCCAATACTTCTTTGTCTTCGGGTGCTTCTCGATCTGATACTTTCACTGAAGCTGCCGCAGCAGACGACAGTTTGGCTTCCAGTTCTGAGCATTTATCGGCATCAGCTGCTTCTCCACCGTAATTTTTGCAGATACCGTCAACTTTGGGGTCTTTATTTTCCATGACAGTCGTACCGTAAAAATCGCTGCAAAGCTTTTTCATCGCATCATGCACACAACAATTCACGGCTAACTTTTTTAAACCCACATTCTTCTCATACGGATTTTCCACCTCGCATTCGTTCCTCAACAGTTCATGCCAATTTAGGAACAAATACTCAGGCCAAACACTTTGGGCACGGGTAGCATCAGGCGCCGACGACACCACCACCGCAGCACAGCACCACAGCACGCAGAGGGCACACACCAGCAGCACACGGCCAGTCATCATCATCGCCATCACTCCTGTCACTTGCGTGCAGCCTTCAGCACAAACTAACTCCCCGTCAGCGCAGAGCAAAAGCAAAAGGAGAGACACGGCACATTAGGGTTGTTGCCATGAAAATGTGGGGCCTGCGCATGCAGGAAGAACAATCAACGATAAAGCACCGGGCAGCACGGCACACAACTCCACGGCATGTAAAACCCACCCGCAGCTGCCAAAAAATGGAAGAAGGAAATGCCTCAACAGTGCGGCAGGAAAACAGAGGTGCCGGTGTGGAAAAGATTCCCAGGCAGGGGAAAAAAACAAAAACAACAAAAATGTATTCTCCCGAAGCGGCCACATCAAAAAAAGCAAATAATCATAATAACAGAAATCAACACCACGAACGGCAGCTCACGGTGGCAGTGGATTCCTTGTCGCCAGCCTTCATGGCTGCTTGCCCACACACCCATCGGGTGTCCATCGCCGCACCGCCGTCTTCCTTCCCGCGGCACCTCCTTCGCCCCCGTCGCCAGCGCTAGGGAACCAGCGGCACCCGCGCACGAACAGCCACGACACGCAATCGGGTCCATCCACTCCCGTCACCTCAGCGCCCTCCACGACACAACACACAACCGCCCAACGACTGTTGCAGGCATCACACACCCAAACCGTAGCACGTGACGTAACATCATGTCATGTTGGCCCCTCCGTCGGCAGCACGTCATGCCGACCACTTCGCTGGCACACGGAAGAATAAATTGGCTGAGAATAGGAAGAAGGCGGGCACTCATTCAAGGACATTCCAAAGACACACAGAAACACTGCTCTCTTCCTGCCACTGCAGCTGCCACGGGCACAGTACTCAAAGAAAAGGAAATGACAAGCAGAGGGGAAAAAAATCGCCAGATAAACAAATCGACGTCCATATACATAGCACCACTCAGGCAGCGGCTGCCGCAAATTCTGTGGGCAACGATGTGCATTACTGAATCCCAACATTCGTGTCATGCTCTCCTCCCCCCAACGCCCATCACAATACATGGCGTTCACGGGCATAAAACGACGGTGTCCTAGACACATTTCAGCAGCTAACGCAACAAAAAAATGTGAAGAGCATCACCCAGCGCCACCGCACCAGCCAGCACGCCACAAGACAACACCAATCAACGGACTCCGGCAACATTCCTCACCATGCTGCGGCCTGCCATGTGCGGGTGGATGAGTCCGAGAGCGTGGTCATCAGGTGCGCGGCAATGCGGGTGACAAGGTCTCCATGAAACAAAACGGCCGGGCAATGTTCATGGCGCCAGCGACGGGACAGCCATCCTCCAGCGTGGCGCACGGCAGTGCCCACACAGCACCAGCGCCGCAGCCACGCACAGCACCATGCCAGAATTGGCAACACCAGCGCAACGATGCCCAGCAGGCACAGTGAACCGACTGCAAACGCTGCCCGTGTCAAATGGGGGCACAATCAACGGACGCTCCAGTGGCTGCATGAGCAGGCGATCCGCATGCAGTTGGACAGAAACAGAAACAACTTCCTCGGCAAGGATGTTGCCGTGCACAGAGGAAGAAACATTACCCTAACAACCTCGATTTTCACCTAATGAACGCATTGCGTGAGACCGCTGTGAGAGGCAATACTTCCTGGTATCATTCAATCCCCTTGTGGGCACATTGGTGCGGATGGGCGCCCATCGGTTCTCCAAACGAAATTGTACAAACTCAACACACACCTGCGCTCTGAGATGCGTTTTCCCCACCGTAGTCGGGATCGACCACGCGCTGTCCAAAGCACCACATCGTCGAGGAATCAGTAATCCTTCAGGGTGACAGCAAAGCATCCGCTGGCAAGTCACAACGCAGGCATCATCACAAGCAGAAGCGCTGCAGTCAACTGTGGAAAGTAATGGGTCAACTGACGCATGGCTTACTTGGAAAAGGGTAGTGGCCTGAGAAGAATGCGAAAGGCTGACGATTTGCCAATAAAAAAAAAAACGGTAAAGAAATATAAAAAAGAAGATTCAAATGTCCGCAGTCAAAGCAACCACAAAATCATAAAGCGTAATGGATACACCCAACCCACAC